CTCCCCGCCTCTTCCTGTCAGTGACCCTGCCTTGCCCCTGTCCTGTCACCTATCACCTGTGCACCGAGCTCAGGCACAGAAGCAAGAACTAGCTGTCCTTTGGGCTGACACGAAGTTACGGTGACGCCTCAGGAGGAGCCAGCGCAGCGGCTGTCCTGCCCCAGCCCTCGCATCCGCTTCGTCCACACTGAAGTCGGAGTGGAGGACGCAAGCTGGCCCCCAGTCCCCACTGCAAAGTGTCACGACCGCGCTTCCTCTTAACCACCCAGACGCACAGCGAAGCCACTTCCTTGCCTGCAGGTGCAGGTGTGCTGAGCTCTGCGCGCACAGGTAATAAACGGATCGCCTGGTTTTATGGCAGGTTTGTTCTTGAACTGTCAACACGAAGACACATCTGCATTTATTTTTCCTTAGGTCTGCAGCTGACATTGGGCTTGCAGCTCCCAGCTGACACATGTGGTAGTCCCAGCACTGGGGGCCGGGCGGGGGTGGGAGAGGGCCACTCAGATGCAGGGGCACAAGGCAGACCCAGCCCCTGGGTGCCCCCTGGGGGGCAGCATGAAAGGGGGCGGCGGGGGGAGCAGGTGCTGGGCCCTCAGTTCCCCGAGAGCCACCGGCCACAGCCCTGATCAGTGTGCCGGGTGGCCAGTGATGGGACACGCTGTGACCTGAGTCAGGTCTGACAGGTGTGGCTCTAGCCTGGTGTGCTCAACAACTACGTAAAAGGCAGCCCCCCTACCAGCGCCCTCACGCACGCACACGTCAGAAAAGGCCGCACGCACGCTGAGCACTGCCGGGGCCCATCCCGTCCCCAAACAAGAGGAGGTGGCCTTTCCATGGCGGAGGGGGCAGGCACAGACAGTTAAGTGACTTGCCCAAGGACACGTGGCTAGTGCTTCTCGAAGGGCAGGGAGGGACGGGGCGGGGGCAGCGGAGCGCGAGCTGGAGTGGGGTCTTGGGACCACCTGTCACCCATGTGGAGGCCCCTGCCTGGTGCCCTGTCAATGTCCCTCTGGGCTCTGAACGCAGAGGTGCACACTTCACTCCGGCAGGTGCAGAGTGAGGTCACCACTGCAGCTGGCTCTGCCTGACGCACAGAAACATTTTTAGCTGCCCAGACACCTCACCTGGCCTTGGCCCTCAGTTGGCCATCGCATGGGGACAAGAATCTGACAGCCTTGCCGACACCCCACTCCCAGCCACGTGCGTGAGGGCTCTGGGAGGGGCGGGCGCAGCAGCAAGTCTGACACGTCTGATGTTGTTAGACCCAGGGCCATGAGGCTCTGCTCAGCAGCGGGAACGCCCTGGGACAGGGGGCAAGGACGCCCCCGACACATGGCAGGCTCTGTCGTCAGCAACCTCTGGTCCCCCGGACCCCACAGTGCCCGGCACGTGTCTGCTGGAGCAGGCATTCGCTCCATACACCTCCTGGGACTTTCAACAGGTTGTGAGTTCCCGTTCTTCCTCGACATGGGCTGTGAACATGACCTTCACCCTCACTGACAATGTGAATGGATGGATGGAGGGATGGCTGGCGGGTGGAGGGAGGGATGGTGGGTAGAGGGAGGGATGGATGCTGGGTGGAAGGTGGATGGAGGGATGGGTGAGAAGATGCATGGAGGGACGGGTGGCGGGTAAAGTGATGGATAATGGGTGGATAGTGGAAAGGTGGATGGAGGGATGGGTGAGTGGATGCATGGATGGTGGGTAGAGGGAGGGAGGGATGGAGGGAGGGATGGATGGAGGGAGGGAGGGATGGATGGATGAGTGGGCAAGCCTCAGAGGTTCTGCTATCGCTGTTCGACATGCCAGAGACGTCCTCATGGACAAGTCTGGAACTCGGCCACTGTGAGTGGCTGGGTCTGGCCCTGTCCGGGTGGTGGGCATTCCACCCGAGAAAGCCCCTCCTCAAGGGAGGAAATTCAAGTCGCTCAGGGGCCCAGCATGCAAGAAGCCCGAGAGCCCAACCTGGAGCACGGAGGGCCTTGCAGAGGGGCTAGTTTGGGTGGGAGGGGACACTGACAACCCTCAGGCCCCAGACTAGTGGCCCGGGAGCTGGACTCCCTCTTCTAGGCCCCCTCACGCTGTCTTCAACTCCAGCTGCCCCCTCCTGCGCCTGGCCCTCCCCCAACCCCCAATTTAAATCCAGCTCCCATTACGTCATTCTTGGCTCCAGAAATTTGCCTCTGCAACTGGGCCGCCATATCACTATCCCTAAAATACTTCTCGCTTCATCCATGGCCTGTGCAGCAGCCTCGAAAGCCTCCCCGGCCAGTACCCAGGAGATGACAGCCAGAGCCTGTGCCAGTGCCCCGTTCCCCACAGGAGGCTCAGGCACGAGGACGCCCTGCAGGCTCCCGGCCCCCCCACTGCCTGGCCAACCCAACAAAAGCTCTCCTGTGATTCAAAATCCACCCATAACACACCCCAGGAGAGTAGGTCTTTGTAACCCTGAATTAGACGGTGGGTTCTTGGGCCTGACACCAAAAGCACAGGTGATTAAAAAAAAAAAAAAAGACACACTGGACCCCATCAAAACTAAAACCTTTGTGCTGCAATGGAAAACATCAAAACGTGCAAAGCCAACCCTCAGAATGGGAGAGAAGCACACATCAAAGGTCCGGTATCCAAAACAGCTAAAGAACTGTACAACTCGAAACTAAAAAGACGACCGAATTTTAAAAGAGGCAAAGGGTCTGCATGGATCCTCCCCCAGAGAAGATGCACGAAGCCCACATGGAAAGACGCGGGGCATCATAGGTCACCAGGGAGTGGAAACGGAAATGCGAAACCTCACCGAGCCCCCCCTCCACTGGCCCCAGAGGAGGGAGCGGGGTGACGAGAAGCCGCAGCCCCGCATCCTGCCGCTGAGGGCCGGTCTGGCGGTTCCTCACAAGGTCAAACACGGAGCGACCCCGTGACCCGGCGATTCCACTCCTAGGTGTCTTCCCGGAGGAAGGAACACACAGCCACACAGAAACCCTCACAGCGGCATCACTCACGACAACCGGAAACACCTCAAGTGCCATTACTGAAGAACGAATCAGCCACTCGGTGCCTCCGACGCGGGAATGTGGGTCAGGCTTGGAAAGGGCGGGGCACTGATGCAGGTGTGCGCGTGTGCGGACGTGCGGGTGCGCGGACGTGCAGGTGTGCGCGTGTGCGAGTGCGCGCGTGTGCGGATGTGCAGGTGTGCGGGTGCGCAGACGTGCAGGTGTGCAGGTGTGCAGCTGTACAGGTGCACCGATGTGCACGTTTGTGGGTGCGCCGGTGGGCAGGGGTGCGGACGTGCGGGTGTGCAGCTGCGCCGGTGTGCGGGTGTGCAGGTGCGCGGGTGTGCACGCTTGCGGGTGTGTGGGTGTGCAGGGACGCGGACGTGCGGGTGCGCAGGGGTGCAGGTGCGCGGGTGTGCAGGTGCGCGGGTGTGCAGGTGTGTCGGTGCGCGGGTGTGCGGGTGCGTGGGTGTGCGGGTGCGCGGGTGCGCCGGTGCGCGGGTGCGCAAGGGCGCAGGTGTGCGGGTGCGCCGGTGCGCAGGCGTACACGGTGCAAACCGGAAGCTGACACAAAAGACCAGGGGCTGCGGAGCTCGGTCGGACGGAGTGTCCAGAACAGGCAGACCACGGAGGCAGAGGGCAGACAGGCGAAGTGCGGGGCCTGGGTCCCGGTCCTCACGCGGGCTCGGCACAGAGCCGCCGACTCTCCGCACCTCCGCCTTCTCCCGAGGAAAGCTCCCTCCTCCCTCCTTCCTCGCACCCCCCACGAGGAAGGCGCCACCGGGCAGAGCACCGAGGACCACACAGCCTTTGTGCCCTGAAGTCGCGGTTTCAGCTGGGCATGCGCAGTCCACCAAACCACACGGGTAGCTTGGCATTCCTCAAAGTCAAACACCCCCAATGCCAGGGCCTTCTGCGTAAATCTGTCACAAATGTGATGCCCAGAGACAACGAACTGAACTGGAGGCGGGGCTGGAAGCCACGCCCACAGTCCTGCGGAGCGGTCTGGGCTGGACTCTCTCCAGCGTCGCCTCTGCTGCGTGAGTCACTGCAGCTCTTACCCCAGGGGGGCTCTTCTGCGTCCTTTGCTGTTAACGCACAAATTCTCCAAGAATCAGGACCATCAGCCAGGTGTCCACATTGGTCGATTTTCCACATTTATAAATGTTTCCCCAGGTGTCCTATTTTCCAAAAGTGGCTTAGAGAGTCAACTATTTCATTACTTCATTTATTCGTTCAATATTTACTGAACTGCTGTAATTTTCTAAACACTTCATCAGATGATGCGGAGAGAAATGAATGGGATATAGTCCCTGCCTTCAAGGCCCTTATTCAAGTGAGACACCAAGTTAAAAATCGGTGTACCGGGGCAGGGACACTCCTGGAGGTTGTGGAAGTAGTGGTCACAAATTAATAAGAGGAAGATTAAAAGGCCAGCTTAACACACAGCTGCGGATAAGTTTTCTGCACCAAAAATAAGAGTATCATGCACAAAAATAAAGAATTAACACCAGGGAAGACACAGACGGCAGCGTCCTGGAAGGTGCGATCTTCCTCCCACCAAGTACAAATAATTGTCCTTGATATTATACGTAAACACACATAAGACTCTCAAAGGTGGACAGAAAGCAAATTGAATAGGGGATCTTAGGACCCAAGGAAAAACACACGGCCAACCCTTGCAGAAAATCCCGAGTAATTTTTTTTGCCCATGAATCCCAGACTTGGAGTTGAAGAAGCCAGCAGCCTGGAGATGTCGACAGGCAGAGACCAAATAGCCCAAGAACAGGCTTTATGTCTATCCAAGAGACCAGGAACGGGGCAGCCTGGCAAGTAGGCAATTTTTAGGCAATAACTGCTCTATTCCAGATAAACAACACAGAAAATACTATGGCTCTGCTACCATTCACGATAGCAAAGGAGTGTGGAAACCCTAATCTTCCAGCCCTGCCAGGCACCCCAATCCCTCTGCCAGGACAGTGTCAGAGAAATCCAGCTAAAATAGAAGGTTTAAACAGGATCCAGAGTCGTGTATATGGAAATGTCTCAGTTTCAGTTGAAAATCGCTCATCCTACCAAGAACGAGGAAGATCTCACACAGAATTTTAAAAAGATAACCTTAAGATGCCAAAATTGAGATGACAGAGATGTACGAAAAACCAAAGTTTTTTAAAGCAGCCATTGTAAAATTGCTTTGGTGAACAATTATGAATATGCTTGAAACAAATTAAAAAATAGAACGTCTCGGCAAAAAAAGCCAAAAGTTTCACCAAAACACCAAAGATATAAAGAAAAGCCAAATGGAAATTTTATTGTATTGAAAAATATAATAACTAAAAGGAAAACGTCTGTGAATGGGCTTAAGGGTAAATTGGATGGGACAGAGAAAAGAATCTGAAGAACTGAACAACAGAGAGAATGTGGGGGGCAGGGGAACCGTGTTCAGTGCGACAAATGATCTAACGTTCGTATCACCTCGGTCCTGGAAGAAGAGAGGGGAAAGGCAGGACTGAAAACGTACTCAGGTGATGGCTGAAAACTTCCCCCAAATTAGTAAGAACATAACCCTAGAGATTCAAGAAGCTGAGTGAATCCTAAATAGGATAAATCTATACCAGATCACATCGTAATTGAACTTCTAAAACCTAAAGACAAAAAAAAAAAAAAAAATCAAAAAAGCTGCTATGGAAGAATAACACTTTACTTAAGGAGAAAAATAATTAAAATGATAGTGGGTTTCTCATCAGGAGCTTGGTGGCCAAAGGAAGGGGCACAACACTTTAGTTGCTAAAAGAACTAGCAGCCCCGAACCTTACATCCAGTGACAATATCCTCCAGGGGTGAAAGGGCGATCGAGATCGGCTAAAGGAATTTCTCCAAACAGAAAGGAAACAGTAAAAGAC